GTATACAAAATAAGCTCAATAAGAACTCCATAACTTTTTAAAGTATGCAAGAAATATTTTCTCTTGATAATAACACCTCCACCCTGCTTATTTCGCTATTTGAGTCTAATGCTTACACTTTAGAGGTGCTAAAAGTTCAGTGTTTTTCATCATGTTTTACTGTAAATGGCTCAGCAGCACAAAGTTTTTGCTGGCGTAGTACCTGACCTCCACATTTGATACTATACGTGACTGTCATTTTAGCTTGATAGCTTGACATACTGGGTGAGTGTACTGGGTTCTGTGTTGGAGTGGTTCTGTGGCTTATAAATTAACCTCCTCGTCTGCATCTCTTGCCTGCTGTGTGGCACAAGGTTCTGTTTCTGGCACTTTACAGTTTCTTGTATATCCACTCCCTCTTTAGCTCATTTTAAGCTTTTTAAAGGGCTTTTATTATCACTGCTACACAGATTATGTTCAGTTATATACCTCTTTTAAGCCCAAAGATGTTTTAAAATGACAAATTCTGCATAGTTTATAATAGACTCTATTAAAAGATGGGTGTTCTCAAACTTAATAATGAGAGGTTACAAACAGAAGTCCTTGTTTGTGTCCTCCAACATATGGAAACACCAGGTTTCCTCGCGACTTTTCCTAAATCTTCTATCAGGAACCGTTTTTAAAAATAGCAGCAGGGCCCTGGGGTCATTTGTTCAGGCCCTGCTTGCTGTGCAGCATAACTAGGAGTGTTTGCAGTGGTCCCCAGATTCTGGAGCTCTTCCCTACTGAGCCTGAGATCTGTGGACTCAGTGGTTTAAAAAGCAGCTAAACGCTCGTCTTTGTCACCTTGTTTTTCAGAAACGTTCTGTCTGTATGTTTTTAGTATCTTGTTGTGATTCACATTGTAATTTTTATCCTGAAAGGTGCTATATAAGTAAAGTTTTATTCTATGTCATTCTTTTAAAAGGGGTCAGGTGGTCTCCAGGTCAGAGTTCAATTTTTTATTTTTATTTATTTTTTTATTTTTTGCACAGAGCCCAAAACAAGAGGGGACATTCAACTGAACAATAAAAAAATAAATGAAGGCAAAAAAAATCCCAAAGTTGTTTATTCACAATCTGATCTGTACTGTCCCAACGTATCATATTACCTGTTATCTTACTTATATTTGTGGGATTCTTTGATCCAAAAAGGTTGTTGCACTTTAAAAACTCTTCAAGACTAATTTGCAAACAAATGTTGGAAGTTTAGGACGATCATCTCACAGAGACCGCTGCAACAATCTAGTCTCACCAACAGCAAGCGAAAATGAGCCAAAACGAAATTCTAGCAAAGAGTAAGATGCATGTGTGTTGGAAGATTTGTTTGTATGATGTATCATGTGCCGGCCGTTATAATGACCATGACAAAGTAGACATAGCATGGGAAAAACCAAGCAGAGTTGCAGATGACTTTTTAAGTATTGTCATTCTGCAGTTTACCATCAAACTTTATATTCTAACCAAGTTTATTAGGCTCATACGATGTGACTTGCAATAAAATACATGACCGATGAAATCTCACAGGATGTAGCTGTAGGTGCCTAAAAAGACTCTAAACAACTAAAAGTCTTTCTCTTTTAGAATAAAAGATGAAGGAACCATATATATTTTTAAATGAATTTAAGCCTGAAGGCTGTTTGTACTGTTATGCTCAGGCTTTGCTTGGATCCTGGGATTTTGGTGAGTAGCCTAATGAGCAACTCTCCTGCCATCTGGTGGTGGCAAACTGACGGTGCTGTGTCTAAGTCTTCAAACTCTTTATAACCTTTTGGCTCCACACGTAGAAGATGTCTGGGCATGTGAGCCTACTGTAACTAATCAAACTATTGTTATTAGTGTTTACAGGAGTTTAGTGCCCTCGGCTTTGTGTGACTGCAGGCCTGCTCATGCGCCTGCAGGGACAGGTGGAGTCCCAACCCCCACAAGTCATCCTGATAATTTTGTGTTTTTGTCTCTCTGAGAACCAGTTTTAATGTGATACAGAGTGGCAGCAGTTCACCCAGGCCTTAATTTGTTGAAGAGCTTCTTAAGAAGGCTATGTCAAAGCTGCGAGTTAGCTCTTATGCTGTTAATGTTCATTTAACACCACAAAGTGCAAAATGAGAATAATAAAAGGTCAGCTCCAATCACCACAAAGCCGGTAGACAGATTTGAGCTGAATCCGAGCTACTTGGCATTTCTGGCTCTATTATGGGAAAAGTGTTGTTTGCCAATGCTGGCACAAAAATATTGAGCTGAGCCAGGCTTTGGTTGTGACAGGTTTTATGTGGGCCATGTGCCACAATATACCTGACAGTTGGCTCATGCAGCGGGGCCTGTGGTTGACTTGAGACAGGCTTTCAGCCCACTCAACCTTCATCAGCCTGAGTTAACACTGTCAGTGAACTGGCTTAGTAGAAAACTGTAAATATGGTGCACACGTGGGCACAGCATTTGTTGCTGAATGGGCAATTTGGGGAAATTCTAATGCAAACTCAGGAAAATGGTGACCCCTCAACAGCAACAATGACTCGTATATCACAAAGTATCTTATTTCAGTAAGTTTCTATTTCATATTTATTCTGCATAGTTTAGTTCAGAGTGGAGATACATGCTTGCAATATTTAATATTGGTGTTGCTGTATATTGTATCATTTTGGAACACCCACCCTGTTGTAAATATGTTTAATGACAGAGCTGAAAAGGTGCATCTTAAATTAAATACACAAGGTCTCATATGAGGGTGGATAACAAGTCAAATAAAAATGAAGAAAAGGAAACGGTCTACTTTTGTATCACTGACTCAAGGACTGTAGTGTCTTTATTCTTTTCCCATCTTTAAACCTTTCCCTTGCAAACACCCATGTCAGTATAAGTGCAGTAAAAATGCAGCAGTGCCTCTTTGTAATGGAAACTTTTAACATTCTTCTCATCTCTGTGCCAAGCTGACCTGGCTGAATGGGAGGCTCCATAGTGTCTCATTTTGATTCCCTGTAATCTTTTAATGCAACATGTAATCGACTTATTACAGCTGGCTTGTAAGGCCCTAACACATAAATGACAGCTACTGCCTGCCTGATGAACATCACTTAGTAACAAAAAAAAGAAAACACGCAACCGGAAAAAACAGAGGTCTAGTGCACAGACGTAATGTGATGGACCGAGCAGTGAAGGAAACTTAGGCACAGGTTAAAGTCCAAAAAATGATTTTTTATTTAACCCAAAAAACATAATTGGTTAACTCATGCAAAAAGAATCAAAATCTTGGGCCCATAAAAGAGGTCAAACTAACAAAACTCTACTCAAAGTTGACAACACAACTGATAACTCAAACAAACTGACCTAACTTAACGAGACAAAGGGGAAACTTAAATAGTGGCTGATCAGCCCACAAAAACAGGAAAAGGGGTAAAACACACAAAACCTAACTAAACCAAACATAATGAACTCCAATTCCCCCCCATGGTCCCGAGTTATGGCGTGAACCAATTTGTAGCCTTCCTTTAAACCTCGCTCCGCCCCTTTTCCACCTCTTGGCTCCTTAATCAAGGGACTGGAACAGCTGCAACTAAGGTAACTCAGAAAACAAAAGATTAATCATACATAACAGTGTAAACTAAAATGTGCGCACTTATTTTAGAATGCAGCGTTATGTGGATATATGAATTAACTAAACCAAAACCAGTTATTTATTGTTCTGTAAATAAATTCCTATATTTAAAGAAAGAAATGTGAATGCAATATTACTTATAAGCCTCTACACTAACATGGTGATATTACCACTGTGTGGCTGTAAGTGCAGCCATCACACGTAATGAGATGAGAGACGCCAAGGAAGGGCAGCGCTAAAGAGAAGGCCACATAAATAGCCACAACCCTCCTTTATTATCAGAGGGCAACACCAAGAACTCAAATTGCAGAGATCATAACCAAATGCACAAACACACTCGCAAAAAATAGCAGTGCCTGTGAACTGTAACAATCTCTATTGCAACCTGTGAACTTGTAAATAACGTGCCTATAAATGATTCTGTGCTTGTGGTTCTTCTTGTTCTCTTTTTGAGAACCCCTCAACCCATTTGTGTGTAAAATCAATTTAGATTTCTGTGACACCTTTCTCCCTTTTCATTAACAAGCTGCGTCTAAGATACGTCACTTCACTGACTACATCCTCAAAAGTATAAAAAACCCCTGAAGAGGTAGAAAGAAGTCAGCTTGGCAAACCTATGGATCCACTTCTCATCTCAGAAGGTCGAACGTAAGAAGAAGCCAGCAGAGGGTGCTAATCTGAATCAGCAGAGACCAGAGAGGCACTGTGGCAAAGATGTGTTAAGATTGTGATTGAAAGCAGCTCATATGCTGATTTTTTTTCTTAATCTCAGACTACATCTGTATTTAACCACACCTGAAAACTCTTATTTCATTTAGTTAAACTGCCATCATGTGCATGTTAAGCTATTCAGCATAGTGATGAGCAATTTGAGTTTCAAGTGCACGCGTCTTCATGGTCTGATATTTCCTGTGGTTTTTGCATCGCATGCAATAAGTGTACACACAGTGAGGTACCGATACTTTCATCACTGACAGACGACAAACCCATTTGGTTAATTTGCTGGAAGGAAGAACAAAGCAAATATTAATTTCTTGAATTTTGAAACTGAACTACTGGTGTGACGAGACTTCTTGTTATGAATGTATAATAAATATATCAGCTGCTCCAAACAAAGCTCACCCAAACAATAGTTATTATCAGTCTTCTGTGCAGCTTGAATGGGTTTGCTGTCTAATTGCTGCACTTTCACTGTAGCTTTTGTGGACTAATTAGCAGGCAAATCAGTTAAAACAAGACAAATCTAGAGACACAATCTTCACATGGTTGTCATCTACCTCATTTGTAAACATGAATCACTAACTACTGGTGGATTAAAATAAAAGACATGGATGGATTGGGGCGATTCGTTGAGTTTGTGTCAGAGAAAGATGAAAGAAAAATTCCTGCAGTTGCTTTTTGAGAATTTTTATTAAATTTACTCTTCATGGGCTCATAATTTAGCACCAATAATTTTATTTTTGAGTCAGTCTCAAGAGACCACTGTTGTTATTCAAACCCTGCACACCATGTCTGCCATGTCCACAATCAAATTATTCAAATCAAACTCATAGACAGACTCACCTGAGCAGTACATGCATAAAAAAGTAGCAACATTTGTTACAAAAATCCATCTTTAAATAACTGAATACTTGACTTTTTTGGTTTGTTTTAATATTGCTTTGAAGTCAGAAACTCCAAATCAAATTTCATGACTGAAATGTGAACTGAATTGAAAAGCCTTCAGATAAAAAAACAAAAACAAATCCATAACATTTAATTAATCAATTTAAAAAAAGCTTATAAGGAATAACAAAGTAAACAACAACCAGAGCCATGTCGTTTTTAAGCTGGGAGCATGGCTTATCCTGGGGTCCTGGCAGGCTTTGGCATTGTTATCAGGCTTCAGGTTCGTGGGGTTTCCCTCAAAATGGACCGGCACACACTCGTTGTCCAACACTTCACAGGCCAGGATCAGGTGTTTGGTGTCCTTTTGGACACTTTTGATACCACAGGTGTCCTTAACACTTCTCACTGTGACAAAGGTGAAAGGCTGCTGGCTGATGCACAGGTTATCCTTGTACGTCTTTCCTCCATTCTTTGAGCAGACGGCCTTCACCCTCTTCAGTTCCTTTGGATCAAGGAAGGACTGTGTGGGTCTGCTACAGTCCCCGATATTCTTAATGTAACTAAACCACTCATTTTGATCAAGGGTCGTAGGAGTTCCATTGCGAACGTGGCGATCCATGAAGGTTTTGAAGCCTTTTTTCCAAGTGGAGAGCTGGCAGGGAGCATCGCTTATGGCAACAGTTTGATGTCCCAGAAAAAGACAGACGGCAAGCGAGAGGTAAGTCCTGGGAGCAGCCATTACCCAGCGGTCCTGCAGAGAGCGAGAAGAGTTATCAAGCAGCTATAAAGAAGTCGTGAACAAACACGTTACAGCTTTTCGCTGAACAGTACATAAAAAGCAGCTGAATTAGCGACAGAGCCACAGCTGACTGTCTGTGCAGTTTTTAAAACATGAAAACGGGAGCAGAAGTAGAAAACCGCTGCTTATTTGAGACAACTTCCTACCTTTTGCCAGCTGCTGGTTCTTCTGTGAGATATAGAAGTGAAAGAGCTCCAGATGTGAGACGACTGCGCTGTCTTTCAGTTCTCTGTGCCGTAGGAGTAGGAGTGGCCAGAACTTGTGCATTACATAAGGCCGACCACATGGCTATGCTTCAGAGCAGTGATTGTGGAGAGGAAGGCGATCCAGTGACTGCTATAAATACTAAAGGTCCAGTGAGCTATTTTGGCTACTCGCTGTCTGAGTCTGCTGCATTGAAGGGCTGCTTTTTGTAACACGTTAGTTTAATTATGCAGATTATTATCATGTTTCAACCGATACATCACTGTCTCTGTTTTGATAGCCTAGCCTATGTTCCTGCAGACGTGACCTTTCAATTATAAATCAGCTGACATCATAGTCAGCGTAAATTATAGTTAAGATTGAAACACAGGAATACTTAAAATTGCTTGAGATGTCATCAAAAGTCAGAATATGTTACAAATGAAGAAATCATATCTCATATACAGTGGCTTGCAAAAAGTATTCTGCCCCCTTGAACGTTTCCTCATTTTGTCACATTACAGCCACAAACATGAATAAATTTGATTGTAATTCCACGTGAAAGATCAATACAAAGTGGTGTACACGTGAGAAGTGGAACGAAAATCATACATGATTCCAAACATTTTTTACAAATAAATAACTGGAAAGTGGGGTGTGCGTAATTATTCAGCCCCCTCAGTCAATACTTTGTAGAACCACCTTTGCTTCAACCACAGCTGCCAGTCTTTTAGGGTATGTCTCTACCAGCTTTACACATCTAGAGACTGAAATCCTTGCCCATTCTTCTTTGCAAAACAGCTCCAGCTGAATAATTACGCACACCCCACTTTTCAGTTATTTATTTGTAAAAAAATGTTTTGGAATCATGTATGTTTTTCGTTCCACTTCTCACATGTACAACACTTTGTGTTGGTCTTTCACGTGGAATTCCATTAAAATTGATTCATGTTTGTGGCTGTAATGTGACAAAATTTGGAAAAGTTCAAGGGGGCCGAATACTTTTGCAAGCCACTGTATATGTGATTGAAATAAATCATTTATATTTTTATATTAAATCCATGAAATTTAACATCAAATAAAGAAAAGGGGTTAATGAGATCAGAAGATGTTTGAATGGCTTCGCTTTCGTAAGTGAAGTGTAACCAAACTTCCTCATTGTCTTTTCTCGCTTTCATCTGAGTTGTGATCTAATCTTCAGGCCTCCAGAGCACAAAACAACTGTGACATTAAACACACGTTTATGTTCATTCAAATCTGATTAATACACATAAAGCTAAGAAGGTCTTTTCAGCTGATTTTGCTGTGGTTCCACAAAGAGAGCAGGCCATAGTGAAAACATGGGGACCATAATCTCCTCTAATTTACTGGTACTACCAGTATCAGTACTGGTATCAGTCATGACTCTTAAACAAATCATAGGTGTCATATGTTGTCACTGCAGTCTTCAGGAATGATCTATGTCATGTGCAGCTGGTCACGTGTACGGTATGCTTTCATAATAAAGCTCCGTTGGATTGCACCCTCATCATGATCTCGTCAGCACGTTTGAGTTTAACACACAAGGCCCAGGAAGCAGGTTTGTGTCTCCAGCAGGAATCAACCCAGTGTCCTTCTGCTTACTAAGCAACCATGTTAACCACTACAATCCAGAGACACCTCCAGCTTTAAGTGTTTTACTGGTGTAGTATTTTGCATCATGAACACACACGTTACTCTTTTTGCTGATATGTTACTTCATTTAAGAAAAATGCCTAAATAAGTTTGTTACATTTCGGTATCAAATATCAAAAGTGCCTCTTCAGTCTTTTTATTTTTTCTCTGCAGATGTGAAAGCACCCTCCACCTCAAGTAGGAAAGGCAGAGGAAACAAAATTAGACAGCCTTGCCTCGCAGCTGTCAGGTTGTATGACATGAATATGACACGTGGCTCTGCTGCATCATGAACAGTTTTGGCCCACTGCTCCATCTCATGATTTCAGATAAAACACACAATGGCCATGATATTTTGGGTTAGGAATTCACTTTTTATGGTTAGGGTTAAGGTGAATGAATAGGGAAAACTTTATGTCAAGCAGCATCCTCAAACTTCCACAGCTCTCAACACTTCTTACTTGATCACATGCAATCATGCAAAACCACTTTGTGAGCCAGATATTAACACGCGGTCATATGTAATCAAGAATCGGCAAGTTTGACATTCAGGTGTTTTAATGTGGTGTCCATGTTGACAAGTTAGCTGAAAACAAACACATAAAGAGGACGTATAGCACCCAAACCCTCGATGGAATAACTAAATGCACATAAATAAAACTGATTTACAACAAAATCTGCTGATTTCAGTTCAGAGCCAGAAATGTTCCGATATCGTGTATTTTATACAAATAAAACCTGCTTCAACTCTCGTGTGCATTGTTATCAAATTTTCTTCAATTCTTAGGTTTTAGTGAAAAATAAAATAATTTTAATTAGGATTATTAATGTGCCAAGTGACGTGTGCTTACAGTTCAAAGAACAAAGTGAACAGATAAAATACCGCCCCACTGTGATAAAAACAACAGAATGTTTATCCCCCAAAGTATTTACATGAGTCGGTCATATATTCCAGCCATGCATGAGCCATACCTGAAAAAAACCCCAGCAAAACTGCATATTTACACCAACTGCTCCCTGTGCAAACTGAGGAAATGTCATACGCCAGACAGAAATGGTCCGGGCAGCAGGTGGCTTCTCCTGTGTCCAAGTCCCTTCGCTTTTTTCATAAGCTGCTCCTTCTTCTTTTAGCGTTTTGTAAATGATAAAGTAAAAACATGTTGCTTCCTCTCCCCTGAGGAGATGTGGATCAGCAATAAACTCACTGATGAGAGGGACAGTGTTTGATGTTGCTGTGAGCTAGGGCACACTCTGAGGTGACAGCAAGGACTCTTCTTTCTTTTCTGCTTCTGAAGTCGAGTTCATAGCCATGTCTTCTTTTTCCTCTTTTTCCTTCTCTGAATCCTTTGTCCTGAAACGTCAAAGCGAAGAGTTATCCCCACCGATTAATCGCACATACTTCAAAACTTCTCAGACAGTTTTTTTTTTTTTTAAATGTCAGTGTAGTTTATCCAGAAGAGGTCGCTCCTTGTCCAAAAATACAGCTCAGCCCCGGTAAGGCTCCATTATATGATTAAAAAACAAAAAAAGAAAACTAAAAATGATCAAACACGGGTGTTTTAGGAACCTATGAGGGCAGGGGATAAATTAGTAGAGTCAAGAGAAAATAAACTAGCAGAGGGGGACATGTAACAAAGGATGCCCACTGGATTTACTGTGTCACTGTCATGTTTCAGTACAGCAAGAGTACATTTTTTTCATCACATATTTTGGATATACTAATGACATTTTGCTTTAAATGTATATAAATATCCTTCTATCCTTATCCATTTTTTCCACTTGAGTTCAGGGTCACAGGAAGGAGCTGGAGCCTATTGCAGCTGTCATAGGGAAAGAGGTGGAGTAAACAAGCCCCCATTCATATAAATGTCCTGGCAGTTCATTCAGATGTCGTAACAGAAGCTTTAAGAATCTGTGGATATATATCCTGTCTTTCAGGTTGGTCATGTCATATCAACTGCCATGTAATACTATAAAACGCATTCATAGAGTTGAAAAGTTATGGTATAAAAATGTATTGTCTTTTTTTTTTCATTTCCTTCCAGCTTTACTCTGTTTGGGAAACATTAAACATGTGATCTAATGCAATCCAACACAGAAGCTGTGTCAGGTTACTGAAGCAGGTTGCTGGGGCTGACAAAATACTATTAACACCTTTCAGTAAAATGCATTTCAGTTCAGTTCAGGTTTATTTATAAAGTATCAGATCACAACAGTAGTTGCCTCATGGCGATTTATATCGTAAGGTAAGGAGCCTACCATAATGCAGAGAAAAATCTGGTCCAGCCTAGAAAAACATGCACAGTCGGCCCCCTTATAGCTTCTGTGCAGAAATGTCAGTGCATTTAGAAGAAATCAGAGGTTGTGTCCCCAGAAAGCCTTGATGTGCCATTCAGACTCTAGTGGATCCTTGTGTTCTCACGTTGTTACACTGGTTTAAAACACAAGAGTATTTAAAAATGGAAAGCTATCAGCTATTCGCAAGAGCAGCGAATGATGAAAAGTTTCCTGTTGCCACTTTAAATCAACTAAACTTTAGCCAGTAGAGACAGATATTATTATTCCTTCCCATGTAAATTTACAGTTTAAGAGACAGTCCAACACAGTCACGTATGTATCCAGTGAGCACTGAGTACATTAGAAGACAGAGGACAGAACTCTAACACCTAAAACTTTAGGATTAAGGACTACTCTTCTTACTAATGACAGATGTTTAAGAAATTCTAACTGTACTCTGGAGGCTTTCTTGGAAGTTAAAATGTCTCACAGTCTTTAGTAGGTACTCTAAGAATGTCTAACTCATGAGGATAAGTTATTGTGAATAGGTGGTTAAAAAAAGAATAAACTACGTCTGAGAGGTTGAAATGAAAGTTTTGAGGTCAGGGGTCATAATTTTGAACAGTGACCTTGGCATGGGAGCAGGCCGGTTATTGTGCAGGACATCCCAGCTAGAGGTAGAGCTGTCACAAGATCAAAAGATGGAATCACATGACAGGAACAGAAGAACAAAACAGAGAGTTAACATTTCAAAGAGGCTGTATGCAAGTGTTTTCTTCCCACTGTGCTCTCGTTAGTCTGAGGGACCGGAGATGAGATTTTAATGTAAAGTTTAAAGCAGATTAACAAAATGAAAGCTGATGGTTTCCCAAACTCCTCGAGGGATCTAATAATCCATTTTGAGAAGCGCTGAAGAAAGCAGTGAAGATGTTAGCTCTTTCCCCCATGAAGACAACATTTGACGACTTCCGCTGTACCATCGTTGATGAGGTTTGACACCTGAGTGCATATTATTTATATACACCCCCCCCCCCCCCCCCACCCCCAACAACCACCACCGCCGACACAAACACCCAGTCATCCTGGAAGAAAGCCCTCAAATATGACAGAAACTGTTCAGCACAAAAAAGAGAGACAGTGTTTACACATAGTAGGCATCCAAGGGGAAAAGAGTTAAATCGCTCGGGCATGGGAAGAGCTCATACTTTCATTAATCAGTGGTAATCATGAGAGAAGGCAGCGAATTATGAAATAGGCATGTTATTGCAGCAGAGGTCAAAGGATCGGATTATTCCCAGCACTGATCTTAGTGCTAATTTTATCTTTTCATTTCTTTCTTTACATTTCTATTACAGCCCAACCAACACTGGTAATGGTAAAAATGATCATATTTAAGTTAAAACCATCTGATATTGTAACTAAATCAAAATATATCCACAGTTTTGTCCATGCCAGTGTATTCGTTGGACTCTAATTTATGTCTGCTTGTCAGCATACTGTAATTAATGATTTATATGTAGATTACTATGAGATCACCATTGTTTTCATTCACAGGGATCGAAAACAGAATGAATATGTCTATAAGCCGATCCAAGATCTGCGCTGAGGACGCCCGACACAGTCAGTGCTATCCAAAAGCTCTGTCAGTATTCAGGTCAGGTAAAGCACCTGTTTACCACGACTGCTTCAAATTGGAGGAGTTTAAAAAATCTGCCAAGAGAAAGGAGTTGGAGTGAGGCGATCCCCCCCAAAGTTTCTACAGGTAAACAGTAAAGTGAAACCAAAAAGAAAAACAGAAAGACCACAATGTGCTTTTGAAAGAGTGGAAAGAAAAAACAGCAACGAGACTATGGAAATCACGAAGCAATGCAGTAAAAACCTTTTACCGTATTGTCTTCACGATGAAGCGAACGATAACCGCCAGGCCTACACAGCCACACATCACTCCTATCACTATGGCTGTTACTTCTCCTGCAGGGATGACCACAGAGACAAACAGGAAAGCAATAAAAAGTGAACAGAAATACAGAAATAAAGCAATTCAGCGAATTAAAAAAGCAATTCTACAAAAAGTGACAGCAAAGATATGCATGGAAATAACTGCTAGTCTTACCAGACGAGAGCTCCTTCCCCGATTCTACAAAATACAGAATAAATAATCATTTTGTTATTTTTCGTCTCACACGGAGCAACCAATCGGTTTATCTTGACAGTATCTGCTGTTCAACTCGTAGTGTTGTGAAATGTTATGTCCACTCAGTCTTGCTGCCTTTTCAAGAGTGCTGATATCACAGGCTTTCCAGTTCAGCCACTCATTACAATGAGCATTTTACACAAATTCTTTCTCCTTTGTTTTTGTCTGCCACTCTGTCTCTCTCTTTCACTTCTCTCTCTGTCTCTTTTTCCTCTTCCCTCTTCTCTTGCGATTACAATGGAGACAGTGTTCAGTTTCTAAAAAATCCTTTTCTCCAATAAGCTTGCAAAGAAACACTTTTTCCTTTTCCATCACTTCCCCTTATTCTCTCTCTTTTTCTCTTTAATCATGCCATCCTAAGGTTATTGTCTCTCAAACAAAATCACCGGCAATCATTAGTATTCCCACATTTCTCCTCACTTTTCACGCTTTAAATACATTGTACTAATTGCTTGCTTTGCTCTACATGGTCACCCACTGACTTTATTGTACTCATTGTTCTTTGTATCACGAGCAGCAGATTGGCATTACAATCACTCAGTGTTGAAGGGCTAAAGTGGGGTAACACTTCAAAGCAGACTGGCTGCGACCTGTCCCAAATCTGCATTTCTTCAGTCTGAAAGGCTAAAAAGAATATTCTGCTAATATTCTAACCAAGTACCATTTTTCTAAGTGCTCATATGCAAATATGTGACTTCCTGTGCACCACAGCAACATGAAAGAGAGAATTTCATGTCTCTTTTAATTATCTGGTTGTAGTTACTCTGTCTGACCTGCAGAAAAGGAGGTGAAGATGACTCTGTGGTTGAGTGGCTGTGTTGCACGGTAGTTGTCCTGCAGCAGCATCCTGTCTGGTTCTTCAGCTTTACTGGAGTAAAGGATTTTCTCCAACTTCAGCAGCTGGAGTGGAGAGATAAAAAGGAGAAGAAGAGCAGTTACACTGAGTTCTACACTGAGGCACGCGGAAAGCAAGTTTATATCCTTCTGGTAGAATAAAAGCTGTCAGTTATAGTGTAGTGCTGAAAGTTAAGTCAAAGTCACAAAAACATTCCAAGTTTACACTTTCTGTTACAAATAAAGAAAATATAACACTGCTGGAGTAGGACAGGATTTTCTGGACCATATGCAGGCAGCTCCTCGGCCAGTATTTAGTGCTGATATGTCTGCCTGGGACATGCTGGGTTGATGTTCTCATCAGAGGCAGATACAACCAATGAGCATTGCACAGCTGCAGGATGCACTCATCACATCCACAGGAAGCCATAACATGTCTAAACAGGTAAATATGTTGTTGGTAAGATAATGTTTTGTTATCTTAAAGGGATAATAAGTTCTGTGAGATATGTTTTTACATATATTTATCATGATAAAAAAAAATAAATAAATAATGGATTGGATTTTATATAGCGCTTTTCAAGGCACCCAAAGCGCTTTACAATGCCACTATTCATTCACACACTGGTGGAGGCAAGCTACAGTTGTAGCCACAGCTGCTCTGGGGCAGACTGACAGAAGCGAGGCTGCCATATCGCGCCATCGGCCCCTCTGGCCAACACCAGTAGGGTAAAGTGTCTTGCCCAAGGACACAACGACCAGGACAGAGAGCCCAGGGATCGAACCGGTGACCTTCCGGTTACAGATACGCTTCCCAACCCCCTGAGCCACGGTCGCCCCATGAAAAAATAATACATTTCACTTTGATTTTAAAATAAAAATAGGATTAATGTTGTACTCAATATGCTCAATCGACCTGTTTCATATTAGTGAGGAAAAACATAACTAGCTGAGCAAAAAATGAGGCATGTTTGTTCTCTTTTTGCACTGTTTAGAGATTAGAGATTTTAGATGTGCAGACCTGGGCTACTGAGATTTGAACCCTTTTATGGAAAAGGGTCCAGATAACACTCTGGTGGCACGGCGGTGTTGTCAGGGAGCCGTTGTATCGATAGTATCGCCCAAGATCCTCAGGAAGCAAAGACTGCACGTCAAAGGCTGGGATGAACGCTTTCTGGTCTGATTATGGATGAAAGGAGAAGAAGAAATGTGTAAATACCCTTTTGCAGCTTTTGCTCCTAAAATGTGGAATGAGCTATAGCTGGAGGCCAGGCAGGCTCCATCTCTCGCTGTTTTTAAAAACACACCTTTTCTCCTTGGCTTTGACCCAGTGTGAGTTTCTCTCTTAAACTTTTACCCTTTGTATGCACCTGTACTATTTCTAATGTTCTTCAGCTCCTATGTATTCACTTATAGCTGATTTATTGTTTTATTTTTGTTCTCGTATTTTTTGTAAAGCCCTTTGGTTAGCTGTTTTCTTGTTTTAAAGTGCTTTAGGAATAAAGTGGAAGTGGAAGAAGACTTACCTGCGTGCCTGATGCGACTCAGATAGTTGAGGATGTTGTTAAACGCTGGGTTTGTCTCCTCACCTGTCTGGGAAAAGTCGGGCTTAAATGATCACTAAAATGCTCAAAAATATTCCAGCTAATGAGTGTAAGATTTACACCTTTTACTTTTTTATGATTATATGGATAGCTGCTGTGTGACAAAATTGTTTCATTACCACAATGAGAATTCCTAAAACAGCCAAACCGTCTTTCTGGGTCATCGCTGCAGACATGTTTGGGTAGAGCTCAGAGTTGTAGTGCACCACATGGAGCTGGAGGGAGTAGGAGGACATGCAGTATTTTTAAAAATTCACTCTGACAAGGAAGAAGGGGGCAAAGAGAGGCTTGGGTTTAAAACTGACAGACAGAAAAAGCTGGATGCAAACTCAGTCCTGAAAAGCACTGAAATGTCTCATTATGCTGTAAAAGCCCAAATGCCAAGTTCATTTTAAAAAAATGATAATTGTCCTTTTCTTAAAGGTGTATCTATATTCAGCTCACCTTCATCCTTACTCCACTCTTTTACCTTCTTTCTTCTACCTTGTTCACTCTTTCCAAATTTTATTCGGTCACCTACTCGTGTCGTTCCCTCTTTTAAATTCTGTATTTTATTTTTTTAATTAACATTAAATCAACACAAATGTTTCTTGGATGTCATTTCCCCCCTTAGCTTCTCGTCAGTGGGCTGTTTCATTATCACAGTAAACCAAAATTAAATCAACAAAAAAGTGACACAAAGATTTAAATATAAAATATAAGAAGATCTTTAAATATACCGATGCAATTCCAAAAATAAATAATTGTATTTGTTAAAATAACATTTATCTTTATAGAAGGGTATATTATATATTTGTTATTAATATGTTATATTTAAACAAATATTTATATAATCTCAATCATCACTAAAAAATGAAAAACACAATCAAAAATAGTTTATCAGAGAATATAAAAAGTCTCTCATTTAATTGTGTCAATTTTTAGTTAAATGCTTACTGCATTTACTGCATGTGCCAAAGATAAATAGATACATTTTTAAAAAGAGAGTTGGGTTTTTTTCACTTTTGATAGAAAAATAACTGAATTGACTGCTAATTCTCAAAGTGTTTTTCTATCAATCTTTGTCTGTCTTTTTGACCATTACTTAATTAAAAAATAATAGTTGTAGCACAGCCGTTTTACATAGTTTTATGCACGCGAGAGGAAGCGATGAATTTCTTTGTGACTATTTCCATCTGCAAATTCACACATTTACTGCTGTAATTGTTGATACATATTGTGTGTAGTCACATATTTGTAACCAAGAAATCTGCCTGCCGTCATGCTGCCACAGAATTTGGTGTGACATGCACATTGCTTAATTGTGTATGTCACACATGTAATGGCAGATTCCAAGAAAACCTTTTTACACAAGTGTGTCTTACATACATGTTAAATCAGCTGAAAAAAACTTTTATATTTATAAAAATATTTGTCTTTATATTTATAAATGAATGAATAAACATCTTTATACTGGTCCTTGTTGTTTATTTATTCATTTATTTATTATTATTAATTTTTATATTACAAATCTGTTTAGTCCATGCTATGTTAAGTGACGCATCATGTATTGTGGGTGAGTTTCATATTTACTTTAACTGTATGTGTGTGGTTACTGGTAGTTAACAGTCAGATGTGTTTAAATGTACCTCTGCATCTGCACTCAGTCCGTTAATGGTGTGTTCACTGCCTCCGGGACTTGGGCCGTCATTGCCCCAGTGGAGGTGCATTTGTATGGCTGTAAAGAACCACGGCAGCCCCCCGAGTCCCATCCATTCTGGCAGTTCAATCACCACTGATGGAGAAATAAACAACACTGGTGACTTGTTTCTAGGAAAGTGTATAATGAGAATCTATAATTTTAAAAGTGGATATAAAAATGGAAAGTTGCAAGTCATCTCTTATTAATCTCCTAAAGTAATTAATGAGCTATAAAAGTTTGCTGACCACATCTGACTCCAGTATAAACAGGCAGACCGTAAAACTGGAACGGGAAATGAGCTGGCTGCCAAAGTTACCTGTGTGTCCGTTATTGTACATAGTGAAGGGTTGGTTGCCGTGCTGGCTGTAGCCCAGCGGAGTCACAGGGATCAAACTGGGGTTGTATTTAGCCTGCGTGGTCATCACATCAACTGGAGACTGTGAGGTACCACCACAATCCGGGAAATACTCTGACCACTCACTCTGGCCGACTAAGCCTTTGACAGAGGAAAGACCGTTACACTGATGTCATTCAATCACACAGCTCACTGGCTCAGTGAAAAGCTTCTATTGATGTATCTCTAATTATGCAGAACAATTATTCCTCTATGTGCTCTTTAGGTTCACAGGCTCGTGGCAAAAACATGCACACATCCAAATATTTATGTGCCTTTGATAAAAGCCACCACTGCTGACAGTGCAGGACAATCCTGAACCAGTTTTGTTAAAACAGTCTAAATAACTGAAAACTGTTTGTTCAGAGAAACATTTCTATTTCTACTGTATTGAATTAACTCTACTGTCAAACACATTTTTTTTTTTAAAAAAAAGGCTGGAAAAAATACAAACATGCAGGGAAATGGATCTAAGCAATGAATCAAAGAAATCAGCACCGCATTAATTTTTATTAACCAGAGCAGTGGATCAACTGCTTAATCAACGTTGGTTGTCACCTGAGGGGATATATTCTAACCCAACTTTGAATGTCTGGTAATATTTATTTGTCCTAATATATTTATTTGTCACTCGTTTAACATTACGTAGTTGTTTAATTAACACAAATAATAGTAGCGCAGTGTCTTTTTTCATATTTTGCATGACCACATTAACCATGTTGGGCTCTTACTTGTCAGACTCCTCATAAATCAGTGTGGGCATGATCGCATATTGAATGAGGAATGAGTGAGGAGTTGGAAAGACTTGTTTTTAGTTTTTTGGACTCTTAGACCTTTGCTTTGTGTGTGTTTCTTAGTGTTAGTGTTGGTTCTTGTAGCATAAATAATGTTATTCTAGTGATGCTGGTGCCTCGTAAGGCTCAAATTGATCAAAACATATTAATACAAAGGTTACTGAGGGGCTACTCTGTTTATTACTTAGTAGATTTAAAATATCAACATTAAAAAACACAAAAGCAGTAATATGTGTTTTCTGATTACTAATGATATGTGTTGATGATATTTGCTACTAAACAGCTAGTTAATGCAGATATCTGTGGTCAAAGAGACACAAAGCATAAATAAACAAATAAACCATGTACAATAGATGTGCAATGATAGATAAGATTATAAAATTACTTCTAATTTAACAAAGTGCATTATGATTGTTGATGAGAGTCCATTTTTTCATAAAATACAGTGCTTTTTAAAAAACATAAATACTATATTTGTACTATGAGTAAATTCCTACAGCTATGTAAAAAAACCCATTAAAATTGCTTCTTTTTTTTTTATAAAATGTGATGCTTAATTTTGGATGGTTAACGCAGATGATGGTAAATTCTGGAAAAACCATTGTTGTGGCACTGATAATTACTGACTTGATTATTGAATGACAGTGTCAGTATTTTATATAATTATAACCTGATGAGCATGAAAAACAAAGTATATAATAACCTGTACAAGATTCAGATATTTTTGCTGGCTTCCATAGGAAATTACTATGAAATGTTGGTCCCCTGCTCACATAATATCTAATATGTAATATCTGTTAATGTATAAAAGATTAAAGAGTATTAAGATTAATTATTTTTAAAGAATTTAATGGAAAGATGGACAGAGATACGCTGAGAAAGAAACTGAGGGAGAGGAGGGTAGTTGAGGCCTGGGTTCACTGAATTAAAAAGAGACTGGTCTATTCTATTGCACGATAAAAGAAACTTAGAAAAGAGGAAAGAGAAAGAGCGACATGTGAGTCAAAGAACCTGAATTTCAATTGCAAAGCGAGGAATGCTTTAGAAAACAGGCACACCACTGACACCTTTTACACACAAAAATGCAAGGTCTGTCATGTTATTTGCAGCTGTAGGTTCACTGATTCTGTGTTTAAAAGCACATTATACCTCTGCAAAACCAACACTTCCTCTGCATAGACACAGTAAATTCAGAAGGCTTTGTTTACACTCAAACACACAGAAATTGAGGAATTGAGGAGGGGACTTGACATTAATTATGTAAACGCATACCACATGTCCACTCCCACTGCTTTCTCCATGTCTCCATGTAACCCCCACCTTGCCCTCTCTAATCTGCCAAATGCCCACTGCCCCTCACTAGCTACTCTTCACAGCAAAGAACTTCAAAGTCTTGCAGCCCCCTAACTGGTTGTCATGGAGGTCTCCATGGTGACTGGAGGCGAAAATTATGACCCCCATGCACCCACCCTACCTCTCAAAGCATGCTACAACCGGCCTGAATGCAGCTAAAAACAAAGACACATTGAGAGGGTGATGAGGAGATCACCGACTTTCCCTTAATTGTCTCTAAACTCCTGTGAAGACAAATCTCTGACATCAAGTGATTCTCCACTTCACAACCTTGTGCTTAATAAAAACTGATTTTCTGCATTAGTAAACACACCGTATGTACTGCAACACAATCTTACAGTCGTCTGCCTCTATATCCAGTATAATAAGACCTAGACACACATGTATATACACTATCTGCCTCCTGGTACAGACTCTAAAGTTTGCTGTGTATTCTGCATGTACTGTATATCAGTGCTGCTCTCCTGAATACATGCAAAGGGTGCTAATCTGTGCACCCCATTCATTCCCACAATGTCTTTGTCTGCAGCATAGGCAGCCAGTGTGCCTCAACAACACAATAAACACATAGGATATTGTGCGCTGCAACAATACACTGTGCGATTTGCTTTGCTTTAGCTTCATTCCGTCCCATCTCCCTTGCTCTGTCCAACACACTCATCTTCGTGCACCTGCCTCTCTCCCAGTCAGCCTCTCTCTCAGGCTTTTTCTAGCTTTCTTCCTTTCAACCGGCCTCCACCCACCCCTTCATCATCTCTGTGTGGCTGCTGCCCTCATGCCAGTTTGCTGAACTGTAACTAATACAGAGAAGGGGAAAAACAGAGGGAGAAAGGGTGGAAGATATGGGAGGGGAAGACCTAAATCCTACCCCAGTTACAGAAGCTTTTACCAGAATTTTAACATTTTAGAGATCCAGATTTAACATGTGCAGCCAAGCAGGTGAAAACCCTGCTTAGTTGTTTCATGCGAAACTTGTGCAAGTCTTTGATGTCATCAGATTAGATTGCGTAATGGATTACACATTAAACTGTACGAAATGTCTCTATTTGTTTTCAGGTCATTACAAAATTGACTTCAGGACTTTGCTCCTTATTTTTAAAGTGCTAAAAAAACAACAAAAAACAAACAAAAAACAATTGCCCCAGATATCTAACATACTCTAACCATAAATCTAGACAATGTTGTGCTAACTATCACTCAATAAAATAATCTGTTTTTTAATGAGCTACATTGGGAACTTGAACTTACCAGAGTAAGTCCAGGTGATTTCCTCTGAAAAAAAACAAAAACAAACAAAAGAGAAAAAATTCCTGAAATTTCTGTTTTGGTTAAACCAAATTTAAAAATTCACTTTGAAAAAAGAAAAGGCAGAGGATAAAAGATAGATCAGGAAATTACTACTTTTCTTCTACTAAGGCTCAAACTGGGAAAACCCAAACCATCAAATACCAGAATCAAAGCCAAAAATCTCACATGATGCCCGTTATTATGTTAATTTTCACCTTACCAGCAGCAAGGGCAGGCATCCACTGGAAAAACAGAAGTATTAGCAGCATAAAAAGACCCAAAGTGTCCATGTTATCCCGCTTTGCCCATACACAGTGAATAAGAGCAGACTGAGAGATGAGGAACGAGCAAGAGAGAGAGTGAGAAAGAGAGGAGAGAAAGTGACGGGCTCCAGCAATCCCACCTGCCACAGCTCTGTTTAACAGCCAGAGTGTTGATGTCACATGCTGAATCCACTCAGGCACACAGTGCACTGGTCTCAGCAAGAGAGAGATGAACAGAAAGTATGAAAGAAGACAAAACGAGAAAATCAGGGGCGAGACAAGGCCCGGTTTAGGGATCAGTTAGTGAGAATTCATTCAGAGTTGGAGGCGGAAAAAGACAAAAAGACAGGATGGAGGAAATTGGGTTAAAAATAAAAGAATGAAAGACCTAACTGATTAGGGAAGAGGAGAAATGGAAATATGTGAAGGAAAAAAAGATGTCTGCTGTTTTAAACATAAGTTTTTTTGGTAGGAAGAACTTCTGTGAGTTGAATTTGAGTCATTTAACCACACCTTCTGCATGCACGCTTGTGTATGAACTAGTATTTTATTCTACGTCACATACAGAGGCAATTTAGAATCAACAGTTAGCTGAACACGCAGGTCTGTGGAGTTCCTTGTTGATGCAGAAGAACTTCCTCTGGTGTCATTAGGCAAGATGAAAACTCTTTGAACAGCTGATTTGAACATGTAAAATTCACCAGAGGCCTGATAATCACGTTTCTACTTAGCACATCTAATCAAACATTAAACTGATCTTGCTACTGAAACTTGTAAAGATTCTGATGCATTTAGTTACTGAACTTTAATCAATAGTGTCAATAATACCAATATTTCCTTTCTATGATGAAACTTTTATTTATCTGTTATAGCGTGACTCTCTTTTGCAAAAATACCCTGCCTAATGCAGGACAATCAACAGTGTTTCCACAGACACAAATACACACTGTGAAAATACAGATGAAAAATATACAAATTGTACGAGATAAAGTCCAAAAATGACCAAAAAGAATAAGATTCAAAGCCCAAAATATCAAAGTAAGACCTAATTGTAAACTACCACCACCCCCAGATGTACTAGGATAAAAACAAGAAACCACAAATATTTTAGAAATCTGTCAAAAACGTGTTTAACAAAACTTTTTTTCCCCATGCTAAATTTCATGGCATTACAGGGTTAGTGATGTTGTGATGATCTATAGGAGGCAAAATGACAAGAGCTATGCCATTGTTCACAAACTTTATGATCCCACATCAGCTGTAAAACCACATTGTATGAAATGAATGATGTTGAGCTGCTTGGGCAAGAATATAGATGACAAGAAAAAATTAAAAAGAAGAAGAAAGGAGAAAAAGGAGGTCATACAGGCAAAGAATAAAGGTGTTTAGTACAGTCAGAAGATGTGGATGAGTGAAAAACAGAAAGCTGAGAAGACAAACAAGCGCTGGTTCTCATACTAGTATTGCTAGTCAACCTTCTTCTATGTTTCATTTATCAAAAACCCCCAAAAATGTCAATAAAAGTGCAGTTCTGATTTTATTGCATCACCCCTCCATCTTCTCCCATCCTACGACTCTGCCTCTCCACCCTCGCACTCCGCACTCGTTCTTTTATCCTCTTCCCTCCTTTCCTCTTTGACTCCGGTCAAGCGTTGTCGTCCACTTTTGCTTTTTCCTCAGCTGTGACTGTGTGTGTCAGAAGCCTGCAGGTGTGATCAGTTTTCTTGTCTTTGTGACTTTGTTCACATGTGACTGCATGCATGACTGTGTGGTATGTATGTGCATGTCATATATGAGGTTTAACCACAGTCAAATACTTGACTGGAGGTCACCCTCTAAAGGCTCTGCAGTTTATTAACAATATGGTGTCAGATTTATGCGTTTTATTGTTTTCTATTAATTTCTTCTTGATTGACTTGAATAGCAACAGTAGCACAGTGTTTCTCTGAGCATGAAAAAACATGAAGTTCGATGATTTCTTCATAGAAGAATGCCTATCACAAACTGAATCAACAACAAATCCATTACAAAACTAAATTACAAACAACGAAAAAACTGGTTCTTTCACCTGCTGCAGCAAAATTATGGGAAAATTACAGATTTTTTTTGGTTTGCAAGGCCTCTCTTTGAATGCAATCTACTCTCAACACTGTCAGTTCTTTGGAACTGATACTCTGACTTTTGTTATGAAATAATAATAATAATGCCCTTTTTTAAAATAACTTACTCGTGCTTCACTACAAACAATATTTGTTATTGAGGTGCAATTGATGCAACTCTGCTTTGTACTTTTATCAGTCACATCTTGGAGGTCATTCACAGTGCAGGTGACATTGGGGGCCATTGATTTTCAAATGTTCGTCCAATATATAACCGACAGCTGTTTCCTGTTCTTGGCAGACAGGAGTGGCCTCCACTGTGCTCTTCTGTTGCTGTAGCAGATCTGCTTCAAAGTCAGATGTGTTATGATTTGAGAGATGCGCTCCTGCACAACCACTCATGTTTGTAACGAGTGGTTGACTGACTTACTGTTGCTGTTCTGCTTAAAATCTTCTGGCCGTTCTTCTCTGACCTCTGACATCAACAAGATATTTTCACCCAGCTGCTGCTCGCTTGATATTTTCTCATTTCAGACCATTCCCAATGCCAGCAGGCCAGCAGTATTCGAAACAATTAGACCAGTAGCTGTGTCACTTTTATTCCCCTTTCTTCTTGATGCTTGGTTTGAACTTGATCACTCTACTGACCATGTCTACATGCCTGAATTTGAATTTCTGACCTGTGATTGGTTGATTAGGTATTTGCATTAATGAGTATAAAGTGGCTGCTGACTGTATGTGGTGTGACTGCAATGGACCATACAGTGGCTGCTGCTATGTTCATGGATTCTACATATTTTCTTTGTCTATTTTCTGATGCATATAGTTTCACGAGTATCATTTTGCTTTTCTCCATTTAAGCAATTTTGTAAAATTTCAAGTACATTGTTCACATTTCATTTTTTGTGCCTAAAATGTTTTTACTCTACATTAGGGCTACATTTTTGCTGCACTCCATCCAAAGTCAGTAAGGTGCAGATAAAAGTAAAGAAAACTTTTGTTTATTGTTTCGTCATAAATGCCACAGCAACCCAGTATGTCAGTGGACACACTTTGAGTAGATTGGCTACTTTGAAAAAAAATGACCAGTAAAATTTCTTAAACCAGAAACAGATTCAATGTTACTGCAAAGAAAATATATGTATAAAAGAGTTATCTCTATGTCCCACATGAAAAGATAACCAAGCTAAAAGCATCCCAGTGCGATCTTTACTTTTAAAGATATTAAAGTTATACACATTTTGGAACTAAAAAAAAAAAGTTTCAAGGCTTGTCTGTGTTTCCATATCTGCCGATCTGGTTACAAGCCCCTAATAAACTTGAAGAGACCACTCAAGGCCCACATGACTGCTTTGTTATGGTCAATAAACTTAACCCCCGGAGGTCTCCTGGATCCATTTCCAAGCATTAACTTCAAGGTTAAGTAATTTATTTGTGGTTCTCTCATGGATTCTAATTTTAAATAGAAAAACATCTTTTAAAAACCAGAACACAAAATTCCCATTTCTCATCTGGGGTCTTTCTGACTTTACTGTGTTTCTTCATCACGTTGGTGTAAGTCTCACATCAGGAGTGTCACTGTCACCAAATCTCATATCACAGTCTCATCTGTGCAAGTCAGTAAAACAGTCTAAACAAAGGATGTCAAACTCCTTTTACAATGAGGGCCACATACAGCCCACTTGGATCTTCAGTGGGGCAGATGAGTGAAACTACTCTTTCTGTCAGTGTAAACATCTTTAATTATACATTTAATCCCTGAGATCTTTTAGTATAAGATAAATAAGTGCAGTATCTACAGCAGGTCTTGGTTTATCTTCATGACAAATGTGTAAATGTATGAAATGTAAACTACTATCCTGTAGCTTTAAAAGAACAAGTTTTCGTTGATTGATGAACATTTTCTCTTTTTTATACTGACATTTTTATATTAGACAGTAAAAAACTGGACCTTTTCCTGTTTATCTTTTAGGTAACTATTTTGGTGTAGTATCTTTATCAGCAGGAAAAGCTGTCAAATTTATAGAAAAATACAAAATTTAATGCAACCCATCATATCAACCTAGACACCTCTAGTTTTTTCTAAGAGTAACATCATATTAGTCACTGCAATTTTTAAAAAATCATCCCTTTTTTGTTGTAAATCAGTCCTGATACTATGTGCATCAGAAAATAAACAAAGACAAAAATATACTATATACACAGAAACAATTACTGAATAGTATGACAAAGTCACACTACATATGTGTGTAGTTCATGCTTGCATGTAATAACAGTGTCATAACCTGCACGTGTGACACAAGACTGAGAATATGTGTTTGTAGCTGCTTCGACTGAACCTCTTCTGAGACCGCGTTTATATTTGCTTTCAACTGAAGAGCATATTCACTGCTACCACTGACAGCATTTAACGGCCTTGCTGTTTCATGCATATTTTAAAAACTTGAGAAGTGATTTGATTGAAAACACTAATGCAATGCTTCACAGCGTTGTTTCATAAGCGAGAGATCTGTATTTCTTTCTGGAAAATAACAATTTGATCAGTTGTGCCATTCAAATGAGAAACACATCACACAATGACTATCACCTTTAGCAGTGAAGTATGTGTAAAACCAATAGCAGTGTGTACAAATACTATGAGAAAGCCTGATGTGGGTTCTCACTGGTGTGAGATTGATGTGAGAATGGCGTCAAAATGATCAATAAAAACTGTCATTAAATAAAGATCTTCGGTGTGAACACCAGGGGGAGCCCTATCCATGTGACATATTTTGGGCTTAACGAGCAGAAAATACACCCCAAAAGTAAATGTTATCGTCACTTCTTCCTGCAACACTGGAAAGATCGTTACAATCTTGGAACTGCTCCAAAGATGCCGAATAAGGAAACATCGACATTTATTTAGGTGAAAAATAGCGAATCACAAAAATAAATAAATAAACTAGTGAAAACAGAAAGACTGAGCCCACGTGAATCCACTGCTTCACTGTGAACCGCAAGCGCCACCAATTAAAGTCTCCAC